AACGATACTCAGCCGAAAGGCAAACAAATACAAATCCTATTTGAATTGTTGACAACTATTTGGATTGGAGGCAAAAAACCCCGTCAAGTGGTAGATATTAGCCTTATCGAAAATGTTTCCAAGAATATATAAACCCATGCCATAAGGAATATGGATTGAAAATTACGAAGAAAATGTACCTAAAACTAAGAATTGAGAGCTCCAATCTCAAGTCGAACCTCACCGCCATTGTAACTGGTTGGGTTGGGTTCAGTGAAGTCCTGGCTAAGCAAATATTAATCTTGCCAAGATAGCGAGTCCCTCTAGGTTCGCATGGCTGCTGCTGCCAGGAGTAAGCCAAATCAATTGCAATTACAACAAACAAACAGTCGGAGGAGGGGGGGAGACGCGGTGGTGCTGGCGGAATGCAAATCGAAATCGAAATAAGAGTCACGTTCCAGCGCTGTGCAATGTCTCCAACATTTTCTGATTCCGCTTCCGTTTCCGGCGTCTGCGTCTCCATCTGCGTGTGCTGGATGCGTTCAGCGGATCTACACAGAGCCAAAAAAATATGGGAGTTGTAATATAAATATGAAGAAATTCTTAAAAAATGTTACTTCGTTTTTTTTCAATTTAAATACAAAGGAAACTCATCAGGAAATATTATGAAAATTCGAAAAATCTGTAAATAAAGATATGTTTTAGGCAGCCACAGATTCAAATCAAATTTAATTTATTTTAAATTTAAATATTGATTTATATTTTTTTTTCTGTGTACTCCCAGCTCTATTTACCTTTGTTTCCCATTTCCAGTTGCAGCTCCTCCGCCGGAGTTTGTTTGCATTCGATTGCTTTGCTAAACATGTGCAATGAAAAATTCGTGCATAAAATGAATGCTGCGCTGGGAAAATGGTGGCAAAAAAGGAGACGAATGGAAATGTCAGGACTAACAAAAGAACAACAAAAAAAACAATAGCTAAAAGCTAATAAATTAAATTGTCACTTCGGCTTAAGGTTTGCGGCTGCTGAAATTCATAAATTTGATTTGTCCCAATCAATTTAGGGAACCTGTTTCAATGGAAGTCCTCAAAGAAATTCTACAAATAAAGGTCTGAGTCTGCCATTTACTAATTTCATTAAACCTATATGTACCTTAATGAAGTTATAAATATATTTTAAGCAAAAATCAATTGTTAAATGACCTCTAAATATATTTATTTTTAGTTGAAAAAAGAAAAACCCAGACACGCGGAAATATTCCTGGCAAAGTCTCCTGTTTATCGCCCAACATAAATAATAATTAACGTTTTAAAGTCTGGCTTGGAGGGGGGGAGGGGGATTGGTGTGGTGGAAACGGAGGTGAGGTGACAAGCAAGTTCTAGGCAACATTCATCATGCCCGAGCATGTCCGAGATAAACCAAAACAGAAGACAAATGAAAGTTCATAAATTGTCAAGCAGCCGGAAAAAAAGGAAATGAAAACGAAATTCCATTCTCTTCTCTCGTTTAGCTCGTATTTTTTCCAGCACTTTTCTTGCGCTTTTCCCACCACCAGACAGCACTAAAAAATAATTTCATTTTGTAGTTTGTTTTTTTATTGTATTCCCCAAGCTTGAACTGCTGGAATTGTTTGGATTAAATAAGGATTATTGAAAACCATTGATTAAGGTGATTTTTAAATGTTAAAAATTGGGTGTAAAATTTAAATTAAAATTTATATTAAAAAAACTATAAACTATAAAATATAAATTATAGTTTTTTATATAGAATTCAATTTAAATTTCAAACCAAATTGTTTAAACTATGGAAAGTTCTAAATTCTTGAGGTAACCTGCTTAATTTTGGCTTATTTACTGACTTTATCTTAATTAGTTAATAGTTTATAGATATTTTGTTTTTACTTTGGTGTCACTTTCAATTAAGTTTTACGATTTTCTGTAATATCTTTAATGGCTGCCCTAGGTTAGCCCTTGTTTTCCCTACCATTAAATCAATTTTTCATGGATATTTTTCCCTGCCCTCTTACAATATCTCCTGCCTGCTCTTCCCCCAGGCTCTCTTGGTTAATTGGCAATGCAAAGTCGTGGCCAAAACAAAAGGAATCCTCTCCCAGTTCCCTCCCCAGAATGCTAATGAGGCTCAAGACCAGGCAGGACTTAAAGTTTTAAGTGTAAATCGCTTCAATGCCAAGGTGAAATTATTATAAAATCAAACAATGGTTTACTCTGGCAAGGAGATTCGGAAAAAGGTAGATAATCTTCAGTTAGAAAAAATAGAAAAACCTGAGATCAGGTTGAATCGAGTCATAGAACAGTTTTTGAAATTTTCAAAAGATTTGTGAGAATGGAGACTTACTTTGTGGCTCCGAAATTTAATGAGTTCTTTGTTTATGTATTCTCATTTATCTGAAATTACCACGCACAGACTGGGGCAAATGTAATAATAAAATTGCAGCTTATTACCGCGAAAGGTGCGCAACGGCGGAAACGGAAGTGAGCCGGCCAGCAGGGTGTTGACTTAGGACCTGGCCCCAAAAAGAGGGGAGGAGGCTATGCTTTCATTACGCCCCACTAAGTCCACTCTCTTCAGCTGATCCCGCTTATGCTGACGACAAATGGTGCCGGCGGAATACATTTCGAAATGGCTTTTCCCTTTTATGGCTGCCCCGCTGCTGCTGTCGAAGCAAAAGCAACAGTTGATGAATAGAGCGTTCTGCTGGGGGGGGGGATTTTTCATTCAACGAATTTTTGATTAAGTTGCCGGCACCTGAAACACCGCAAGTGCCGCAACTCCTTCGGCCTGCTAATTAAGAAGCTTCAGAGAAAAACAAAAACCAGAAGGAGAGAGATAGGATTGTCACTGCCAAAGTTCTGACCGAAACAAAACTTTGGCCAAGTTCCATAAAGTCAGTGGGCATTGGCGTTTGCCAAAAACCCATTTACATACAAATTCGAATCGCAAAAAAAATGCAAGAAGTTGCCTCACATATCACATGCTAATGCCCTTGATGTCCTGCAAGGGACGTGGGATTTGGGATTATCAAGGCAAAGCCGCAAAAAACTTGCCGAACAAACCCCAGCCATGTCCCTAATCTGGCGAGTCAAAGGAGCGGAAGAGAGCGCCGAAAACCAAAAGGAAAGCAAGAATGCGAAACAGAAACATAAAAGGCTGGCAAAACAATGCCACTGAGTGTCTGTTGCACAGGAAATAAAAATTCTGGCAAAATCGTAGCTAGATTTACTGGTTTTATTTTACACTTTAGCCCATTTCTCTGAGTGTACATGGTCTCGAACTTCGATTGTGGTTCGGAGGAGTCGTAAGCGTATTTGAATTTCCTGGTTGGCTTCTTTTTCTTTTCTTTTTTGGAGGCTGAGATGCCAGTGTAATGAAGACAAATAAAGGCAATTCCTGATGCGCTATGACTTCGTGACTAGCCCCATTCCACTTCCACTTCCGTTTCCGCTCGCCCGCCCATCCACCTGCTGTCACGCTCGCTGCATATTTGCTTAGGTCCCATCCCTTGAACCTCGAGAGTCTAAATCAGAATCCGAATCCGAATCAGTGTGCTCTGGCTTCTGGTCAGCGGATGTGTGCACTCGCACAGATAGCCATATTTATACAGACCCAACACAATGGCACTTGGTATCCAAAAGTATGGCATATTAATTTCTAGAATTAGAAAGAGTTTCTACAAAGGACCCCAGGGTTGATAGTAGTCTTCTTTATTTAAACTTATGTAAAAGTTACAGTCTTTGCTGATTTATTTTTGTATTCAATTAATTTATTTTACCTCTTTCTTGGGTTTGAAGGCAGATCACCGCCTTGAATGACTTCCTTTAAGCCAAGTTAACACATAGCCAAGTTCCTGAAATATCCCAGGATATTCTAGGACCCTTTATAATATAATTTTAATTTGATTTTCTACCTTATTTTGTTATATTCCCTATTATAATGGTCGTTAAACCGACTGGTCCATGACCAAATTACCCTAAACGTAACAATGAAATATATATTTTTATAGATTTTGCAAAGTTCTTCTTATAATATATATTATAAATTTACGTTTGTTCGTTCTTAGGACCCATCAAATATATTTAACTATATATTTTATATACCAATTTATTTTGTGTATTTATTGGTCTTTAGACCCACCGATTTTTGTGGGTAAAATCGTGTCAAATCGCCAGTCGATGGCCAAATGTCAATTTACGTAAATTTCATGTTTATTTGACCATTGATTAATGGCAAAGGGCGCACACACACACAGAGGTCGGTCCCAAGGCCTCAGGTCTTCAATCATAAGTAGTCGCCCCTTTTTTTTTTTTTTTTTTTTTGCTTTATTTATGCATACAATTTATAGCCTGAAACCAGCATATTTGTGTCATTAGCCGCAAATTTTTGACCCATTTGTCATTAGAGCTGAATGCAGACAAGCAGGGGCCAAGGATTTGCATAAAACAAACGGACACGGACACGGATATGGCCATACACCCGACCGGCTGCGTGTGCGTGTGTGTGTGTGTGTGTGTTGGCCATTGTGCCGTGCCAAAATGTGTGACCGACAAGATTTATCAAGTAATAACAGACATTTCGGACAACCCATAGACCCATTAGTCACACGCTGTTTGACATTGTCTGAAAATATCATTTTAATCACAGACCACACACAAGGAGCACATGGAGCATAGCACAGCAGCAGAGCAGGCTGAGGATACGGATACGGATGCGGATGTGGATGCGAGGGTCGAGGCGCAGGCCAAAACAAAGGTGGAGATGGAGGTGGCTCTATGGTCCGGCTTCCCTTTAGATACAGTAAATTTTGTAGCTTTAAGGTTACCCCAGGGCTAGAAATGATAGGTTCAAGATTTCTGGAAAGGATTAATGTCAATACATCAATTGTTTCACCTAATCAAAATACAAATAATCGATTTAATCGATGTTAAAATCGATATTTTCCAAGCTTTAATTTTCTGCCTTTATTCGAAATTGAAAAAATATATAAGATTTTGAAACGTATCTGGTTTTATGGGGATATAGTACATACATTTATTGAAATAAACATAATATTAGCTTTGCCCTTCAGAGCTATACTTATGGTTCTTCATGGTTTTAAATTTTAATCACATCCTTTGTACTCATATGCAAGGACATTATATTATGTTGTCGAAGGAAGTTATGGCGTCGCTGATACCATGTAAATTTATGGCTTGATATAGTTTGGTTTAGTATGTATACCGAGCAACGTCTATAGTTGATTTACATAATCAATAAACTCGGTGTCGAGGGCCTCCTCGAAGACCAGGTTCTCGCCGATAAGTTGGAACCTAACGCTCACAGCCGGATTGTCGAGATCCTCCAGCTTCTGACTGATCATCTCCAGGAACTGGTGTATACGCTGGACGCGGTTCCCGATGTTTAGTCTATCGCTCTGCTATACGGATAGTGAGAATCAGCATACACATACTACTCACAAAGTACGCACCTTAAGCAGGGTTTCCATAGATTCCACTTCGATTGGCCGCACCACCTGTCCGTGGTCATCGAAGCTGGCCACAACCAGTTGATGGACGCCGCTCAAATAGGCCTGTCTAACCCAAACGTCGTAACGAAAGGTAGAGCGCCAGGAAATCTGCTCCCTAACGACCCGTATGTTAGTCTGGCGACACTTGTCCAACTCTTGTTGATCGGTACTAAGGACAGAAATTAGTCAAAATAAATATACAAATTGGATGACTTACAGATCACCAAGAGGTTCGGTGTTGGACAGGCCCGTGACCTCGCCAGTGTATAGCAGCCGGAACTGGCCGATTTTGGCGGAGAACATGCCATACTGCTGCATCCTTTGATCAATTGGTGTGTCCGTGTCGGGATCCTCCCCCAGACGCTCTATTCAAAGGATCACGTTTAGCCAGGAAAAGGGGTTTATTTATCACTTACCTGTCAGTAGATACTGGCGTGCCTTGAAGGCATAGGAATGCCGTAATACCGCTTCATTATCCATATCGTCAAGTAACTTTATAAAAATGCAGCCCTTAAAACGAAAGGCCTGAAAGCGATAGGCCCTGGGCACCACAGGTGAGGCATCTATGAATATTCTGAGTGTATGCCGATGGAGAATGAAGTCAGTCTGCTGCAGCACCTGCTTCGTTTGATCCACATGCATTAGGTAGTGCTGCACCTGGTCGAATGGGTCGGGAAAGACGCCGCATCGATGGGTAAACTCGTCATAGCCCCGGTTTAGATCAAGCGGGTACTCCAAATCGTTTGGCTGCCGGAAGTACTTAAGGTTTTGGCTCTGCTCGAATGACTTTTTGATCGGATCGAACTGCACAATGCTGCGCAGACGAATGTCAGTCAACTCCATGCCGCTCTGCTGGTTAACAAATTGAATTCAGAAGGCATTCAAATTAATGTGGCAACTTTGGATTGACTTAAGCTATTTTCGCCCCGCCTCCCCCCACTCATTTGCATAGTTGGCTGGCTGACTTTTTCACCGGCTCATCTGTCCGCCGACAGTTTGTCCGCCAGTTTGCGCATTTCCACCGACAGCAGGTGGCTCGCCTCCTGACTGATTTATGTGCGGCAAATGCCTTGGGTTAAAAACTTTCCACTGTGGATTAAGCCACGGCAAAATGAAATTAAAAATTACAGAAAAAAAACACAAGAGAAGAGTGGCAGCCACGAGGAAATCTCGGCAACTTTTTGATTTGTCGGGCACAAGCCCGACCCCGCGCCTTGTAGTTCCGCCTTACCCATCATCCATCCTACCTGCCGGTCTTACTTGAGTTTTAATTAAAAGAAACGTGAACAAAATTACAAAATGCGAGCACTTTTGATTTGTCTGCTGCCTTCACGCCGTTCACAAATAGAATGCCAAACGGAGTCGCTTGTGTCCAATCCCCAACTGGCACGGAATTCCACTCGAAACCCCGGGCCCTATGAATTGCCATAAATGTTATATGGTTAGCAGATAAGACGGGGAGACGGAAAGTCGGGTTTCTTTTTATCAGCTAGTTTAGTCATTTCCGTTAATTTGAACATTAGAAGCTAACTAGCTACGTTTTCGATATGATTTCAGTGGTCATCCCTTTAACCCCCTTAACCCCTTCTTAGTATTATCTTAGCCAGTTCTTGGAATTGACCTCTTCTAATCACTTTGATTTCGCAACCAACCCGTCGTATACGTAATTCATACTAGAAGGTGGACAAGGCTTATCAATGTTTATGGCATTTGAATGTTTTGTGTGATAGTTGCTGCAGAAAGAAAGTCCGAGGATTCAAGAATAGTCTAAAGACATGATTGTCATTTGATTAGATAACAAGACATTTCTAATAGAGCTGATAACTATTGATGATTTTGTTACATTTAAAAACATCTTGAAAATATTGTTAGAGACTGAAAATAATATTAAATAATATTTTGAGCAAATGCAAAACAGCTAAATTAATAAAAGTAAAAATTAAAATAAATTAATATTATTAAATAAATTAAAAGTTAACATTTTAACAAAGTCGAAGGAGGGGTCTAGTGTCTTTAGGAATGGTAAGCAGTGAAGGCTATCAACAGTAAAAACTCGTGTTTAGAACTATTTACTATACATAAGCATATAATTTATAAACAAAGAGTTTCTTTATATTATTCTAATCTTTCTCTACTCATTCTCACCCTAAAGTTTAAAAACTATCAAAGTTTTCGTCTAGTGTAGTGCCTGTGGCTAGGCAGTTTGGCTTTGAGTCGTTCTCATATTGTGGAGACAAATTAATTGCGAACTCGTGTAATTGTTTGACGATGTCATCCAAATTCATTCGAGTCCCAAAATGTAAGCACACACACACACGTGAGTGTGTGTATGTTTAACAAGATGATGCGGAAGGCTGAGGACCCTGCAGACCCACAGGACGTCATAATCGTTGTGTAGCTCCAAGTGTAACCCAATTAGTTTACAAGCTTTCCAATATGGCAGTTACGTAAAACACCCCACAGCTTCCCCCCAGCTCTACTCCTGCTCTATAAGTACACACATCTTCCACCCACTGATTAAGCCAAAGGAGAGAGTAAACTAGAAAATCAGTGAGAATGGAAGAGATTTATTTTCTTGAACCATTTGATGTAACAAACAAAATAAATAAGAAGTAAAAATGATATTTAAAGTGAAACCCACTTAAATAATGTTAATAATTATATTGAAATATACTACATTTTAGACATCTGCATGACATCACTCATTACATACAGAACTAAACTCAACGAATTGAATTGAGTGAGTGCCGTTCACACAATGAAACAAAATTTGTATTTATATGGGTGCGTTTTTGAATGAGTGAGATTCATTCTCAATCTTAAAACGAAATGAGAACTTTTGTATTGCTCAAAAAACATTCCAGTGAGTCCGAGTAATACAAATTCCAGCGATCGTGTTGTTTTCGTTGTTTCTAGCGAATTGCACTATTTCGTTTCTATTTTAATTAGCAAGTCAAGAGATCTGAGGTCTACCATAATTTTATAAAATTAAAATCTTCATATAGTATTTTTAATAACTAATAATATGTAGTACCATGCATATGCATAAGTTCAGTTAATTAATAATTTATTAATTTAAGAAATTAATAATTTAGAGCCAACAAAAAAAAAGGCACAACTATAGTTTTTTTTTATTATTTTTTCCAAGACTCCAATTTCCGATTAAATTTTTTATAATGATATTTCAATTAAGGCTTAATATTTAAGAGGTAACAATTTTTGCAAGTGTATTTCATTTTGCGTTCAACTTTAGGATGTTCTAGGAAGTTCGTTCAAGATCAGAAAATAAAATGCAAAGATAGCAAATAAGCAAGACTCGAGTACTTCGTTCCCTTTGATTATTTACTCAATATCAATTTACACAAAATATCTGCAGATGAATACCCGAGAATTATACATATGTATGTACAGATTTAAAGTACATACATATTTATTTGAGTAAATCCCCGAATTAAAAGATTACGTTTAGCGGAAAAGCTATACAGTGTGATGGTCAGTTACTCAAGATATTTACCTTGCAGTGTACCACTATATAATTATAAAAAATTATATATTATAATTAAATTCTTCTGCAATTTGTAGATTACCTGATTGTTTTTGCACTTTCTTATATTTATATCTCTGGGTTGGTTTATCAACCTCCGGCTTCTGTTCCCGACTTAATGTGGCCAGTCCCTGATGCAATCAGTAATAACTCCACTAACGATCCCTCTCGTATATCGATAAAAATAATCAAAACAATGATATAAGCGAAATATACATTTTAGATCATGAATGCAGTGTGCGCAGTTCCACATTCATTTCATATGTATGTATGTCTTAAAAACAAAATCATTTGATTTTTGGCGGGAAGACCAACGATAACGATAGGTTTTAAGTTGATTATTTTTACGACGGCCGCATAAATTTGAATAAATTTTAACACTGATAACGGTGAGAGAACTATCTTAATAAATACTTTAAAATGTTTTTTTCTTAGTTATTACCAAAAAACTATGTATTTTCAAAATTGTATAAAATATTTTAGGGTATATGACAGTCATAAAAATTGTTCAAATAATTTTAAGAAAAAATTTAGTGATTATAATTATTATTTTAAACTGATTTTCCTAAAAAACTTTGTATTTTATAAAGAGTTTGAAAATTTTATAAAATATTTCAAAGTGTTTGATCAAGAGCAAGTGTGATATATTCGAATGAGCAGCGATTAAAGGCTCACCTTGTGGCTTTCTCCCTTTCAACAAGTGTACGCCTGGGATTTTGATCCCTTCAAGGAACTTAGGGCTCTAAGGGCACTCAGCCACAACAATAGGTGGAGCAGGGAAGAGGCGGAAACTTTTTTAATTAAAAGGGAAAATAAGGAGAGGAATGGGGAAATGTATAAAATAAATACAACTTGTGTGCCACTGACAAAATGTTTCTTCTCGACCATCAACAAGTTAAGCACAACAGAAATTGTTTCCTCATCGTATTTTTTCCACCTGTTTTCTTCGTTTCGCCTAAACCTAGGTGTAGAATGAGCTCATCACCCACTACCCCACCACCACACCACCCACCCATCCAGTCCACTTTCTTTAGTTGTTGTTCTACCGTTGCGCTCCATTTGCGGCAATGAAATTGAAACGCTTAGAGAAAAGTTTCTCATGTTTTGTTATTCAGTCTGGGGTACTTTATGAGATTTATTGCGTTTCGGAACTTCACTTTTCGATTCCTTCTTCAATGATGGAAGCTTAGGAAGACTTAAAAACTTTAAAGCACTGTAGGTCTATCGATGGCAAACGAGCAAAGCATATCGATAGATCGTTTAGCGACAAATGCGGATGCCACCCTGTCCGAAAAGAGGGGTCGTGTCGACTACAACAGGCTACGCGGTTTAATTTTGAATATACAAAATTTTAAAATTTAAAATAAGTTTGGAAAAAGAGATAAACTTCGGCCCAGGAGGAGCAGGAGCAGGAGAAAGCGAGGACGGGAAGCCTGATCGGTATAACCCAGAGGTGAAGCCCTTACCCTAAAATGGCTCTCATTTCCAGGCTCGACCAGGACGAGATTGGCCCAGCTTTTGGAATTTTTCTTTGGCGCAAACTGTCATCAACGGAAAGCAACTTGAGACGGAAATTATTTTTTATTGGCTTTTTTCCCTGGTGGAACGGGAAGGTCGGGTCTGCTTCTTGGCAGATGTTTCCAGTATATTTACACTTAAGCTCTGTTATTATTATCATAATTGTGTAATATTATTATGATTATTGTTATGGTTTTTGCATTTTAAAACAAATGAGACTCGACTTCGCGTGTTTTTTGGTCCTGAATGTATGTTTGTAAATATTTATGTATGGTCATGGGTGTGCGCCAAAAATTACCCAAGAAATGTTATTTTTTATGTTCCTTTAACTGCTTGTCCGTTGCCCATCAATTTAACCAACTTCTGGAGAAAGCATGCAAAGGGGGGAAAGAAAGGCTGGGCCGGGGAATACGAAGCTGGGAGTTTCACGAACATAAAAATCAAATTTCCGCATAAATTGTTAGCTCAACATTTATACATTTTAGCGAGACAATTAGAGTCGGGGAAAAATAGTTACAACTTGTGTATATTATTTGTGAATCATTTTTACTTTAGAGATTAGCTTAATCTATAATATTCCCTTTCTACATAAAGTTTAGCCTGTTAAATTTTAAAGGAACAATGAAATAGAAAGACGAATTATACGAGTCTAGTGATTCAATATTTTCATATACAGATTTACTATTTTTTTAATTTTTTTGAAATTAATTTTAATATTTTTTAGAAATATTTGGGTCTCATATAGAGTTAAGTCCGTAAGCTGGGTAGTAGTGGAAAGAGCATGAGCCCTTTGGCATCTTTTTAATAACCGCCTCCTTCTAGCAGGACCCTTTGTGTCCCCCCAGAAGTCTCAGAAAGGATTGAGCTTTTGCCTTGTGAAGATGGCCTCGGGCATAGTGGAAAAATAAATAAACAAATGTTATTTAATTAAAAATGATTATTGTTTTAAGCTATCTATGTTATGTTATTACCTGTGTCAATCGGGTGGCCCCATCCTTTTGCTTCAGGCAATAGTCATACATTTTTTTATCTATGCTTGTAAATTTAGTAATTATTCTTGGAAATCACTCTCTTGCCATTGACCAACTATAAAAATGTTCAATATGAAACAAAATTTACAAGAAATATTTCCGATACACTGTCTCAAAATAAAGTTTCTCGAGAACCCTCAAAAATCTCTCTTAGCGAAAATCTGTGAGGATTTACCCTTTACCGACGATAAATTCATTTGCAGGTTGAAAGTTTCTGGACGACATCGGTTGCGGTGACTCACCCAGATTGATTACGAAGGTTCCGCGCAGAGTGCTGCAGCAGGAGAAGCAACCACAGCAGCGGTGAGAGCAAGCATAGCCTGGATGTCCCTTTCAATCCTGACGACGACAGACTATCCAGTTCAGTGTCTCGACACCCGGTGGTGCCTTTGAGCTGTGCCTATCATCTGCGGAAACTCCGATACCAGAGGTTTCGTCTTGCGTATCACCCTTCCAATATTCCCCCCCTTCAAGTGCCTGACCTTCGCCAGGTTCTGTGAAGCACTGGTGAAAGTCAATGTCCTCGAAAAGCGGTGGTGGTGGTGTGAACGAGCCGAAACATCCTGGAAACCTGCATGAAGGACTGTTCGGTGAGAGTGGTTGACGAAGCATACGTCAACCCACAAATTAATTTATCGTCGATAAAGGTAAATTTATCTCAGATCCTTTGGGAAAAGCCCAAGTCCTGAAATCTCTGCTACCCTATACACCAAATCTTCAACTCTGTGGAAACTTAATTATGAAGGACTGTGTGCAGGAATCTTAAATACTTTTTTATACATTTTATAATTGGCCTGAAAAGCTGAATAATAAGCTGAATTTTGTTGAAAAATAAGCTTTACAAAAAAGAACTTGCCTGAACGAAAGTAAATGTTTGACTGAGCTAAACAGCAAAAGGTTTGGCTTCCATTACTTGACAGTAACCGAAAAATGGTCAAGGCTACTGAGATCAAGACTTTGTTTAATAATTTATTCATAAAACACAGAATGTAGTTTTTATTGTTTACTTCATAGGTATACAAATGCATATTTAAATATTGTAATGACCTGCCTGAACAGATATAATCTTCATTTGAGTTAAGTACATGTGATATGGAATGTAAATGGATATTTATAAAATATACTTGGCAGAATTCAGGATGCCTTGCTTATTGATTTTGTTTAATTTTTGTATTTTTCAGTAACTTAAGAGCTAATAAGTTGGTGTTGCTTCATTCTTGAAGCCCATCTCCTTCTAGTTGTCCTTCTGCAATTACCAATTTGCCTCACCGCGCATTTGCTTGAACACATAGTCCTTGCCGTTGAGGTGCATCACTCCGTCTTGGAATTCGAACTTCCACTTTTCGCAGTAATGGGAGACCCTATTATATTGGCACGCGATCACGTTGTCCGACTCGAACGCATCGTCTCTGACGGCATCCTCGCCGGTGGGGTCGTCGCCACTGTTGAGAGACTCGTCATCGCCACGAGCTTCTGGCTGTGGCAACTCATCTTCGATCTCATCGTCGTCTTCTTCCGAAGTTTCTTCCTTGATGGGTGCCAGGCCACCGTCCAGCTGCAAGGCATGTCCAATAGCCCTATTCGTGCGTCGGACCTGAAGTGGGGGCAACTCGATCTCCTGAAGCGCCCACTTGATCCCTAGAGGATTGGCACCGGTCACAGGGATGGGTTTTGGAGATTTGTTGGTCACGTTGTCAGATGCCTGCTGTAGTGGCACAGGCTCCTCCTTCACGTCTTTCTTGGTGGTGTCATCGGGGGTTTCGGTGTCCTTATTGGGAACCTGGTCGGTGGGTTCTACCTGCAGGTTCTTTTGCATCTTGGAGCGCCAAACTTGCTTCAACTGCTGCAGCGTCGCCTCCTCCAAGACACTGGACATTTTGGCAATCACATCGTCGATCACGGAATCGTTAATCATCAAGGTCTCGAAGTCCGGCAAGGGATTCATATTTGACTTCTTCGAATTTTTTTAAGTTTCTATTGAAAATGAAAATTTCTTGGCAGGTCACGCTGTTCCTTCTCCAAATTGGCAATCCAGGGATGGAGGCCAACAGTTTGGTTTCACATTCAAATTCGAAAGCATTTGGAACGATTGGAAATAATGCAATTTAATACTGTCTTCCCATTCAGTGCATTTGTGTGGAACGGTTAAGATTTTTCACAAATGCAAAACTCGAGTTCCCACAGACAACATGTCTTTAGTGTAAAGCAGTTGGAATTCTCGGCAACAATCGATAACAGTCGATTGAAAAGCTTTTCTTCACTGGTTTTTCAATTTGAAAAGGAGAAAGGAAGCGTGGCCTGCCAACTATTTTTCATTTTACAAAGAAACATCTGAAGGTTTTTTTTTTTAAATATGAATCCTTTGCCGCAATTTGAGAACTTGACGATAAAGGATTCCGTGATTGACGATGTGATTGCCAACTTGTCCAGTGCCTTTCAGGTGGCAGGTGTAGAGGAGTCTACGCTGGAGCATCTAAAGCAAGTTTGGCGCTTCAAGATCCAGAGAAGCTTGCAAGTGAACCCAACCGACCAGGTTCCCAATAAGGCCACCGAACCAGGACAACAAGTCGATGGGCTTCATGTATGAAGGAACATTAGCGGCGCTAATACTATATACAGTACTATGTACAGCCGTAGAATTGATTATTTTATTTTTTTGTTTTATAAGGAATCACAAATTAATTATAATTTATTTATATGATAACCAATTGGCATTTCAGCAGAAACAGTTGAGAATTTTAAGAAATAAAGCTGATAACCGAGCACGCCCCAGTGGTAATCGCAATAATAGCCAGCGTTAGTCACCCTATATTCTTATGTGGCCATGGCCAGACTCAATCTGAGACCGAGGCAGAGCGGCCAGCATCAATGTTGATTAGAGCTGAGCTTTGACCTTGGGGCTGGAACAGGGGCAGCAGATAAGCCGTCGGCGGCGGCAGCAGCACCAAGTGAGACTTGGCCCGGAAGGGCGATGTGGTGGGAACTGCGCATTCAGTCGTTTGTTTGCCATTTAGAAGACGACGACAAGCGCAATGAAGCTACTGCTACTGGTCTGCCTAATCCTAGCCGCCTTGCTCCTCGGCGATGCCAGACCCTCCGAGGTGGATAGTCCCGAGCCCGACGCCAACGAACTGGACAATGGGGAAGAGGCCGTGGCCAAGCCGCCGGGCATAGTCTCCATCAAGGTGCGCCACGTTCAGGCGGATCCGCTTCTATGCCAGCAGCTTTCGCGTTACCACCCACACCACCCCCAGTGCCACGGATACTGCAAGCGCCAAGGTCACTGGATTGGCCAGTGCAAGAAGAATAGTTGTCACTGCTTCTCGTAGGCGCTGTGAATGTGTACATATATATAGATGAATATATATATCTTTTTTTTTTAATCAGATATGTGAAGAATGTTTAAGTGTGTTTATCTGGAAATAAATCGATTAATTTTTACCGGTTTGTCTTATAATCTTTGTGAAGGAGTCATTTTCGAGCCACTAAAGTATATATCTTAGATCAGTATCAGCAGCCGAGTCGATCTAGCCCGTTACTATGTGAACTAGTCTAGGTTTTTGAGTTAGCTGAATGAAATTTGGCTTATTTATTTGGATATTTACCTATAAAATCTATACTTAATATATTTTTTAATATTTAAAATTGTAATATATCAAAATTAACGTTATTTTCGAAATGGAATTAATAATTTTAAAGAAACAAGGAATTTTCTAAGGCTTTCTTTTTACTAAATATATTTAAATATATATATGTTAATATAAATATACACTTTCAAGTGAGAGAATTTTAAACCGTAAACCTTATGTATATTGTGTTGAAATTTAAAAACATATTAAACACCCGTTTTTTTTTTGTTAGTTTTTCCTCAGTCCAGCTATGTAGGCCCCTCACTCGCCGCGTTATCAACTCTTTCATATGCTAATTTTATAGTAAACAGTGACGACAACAAAACGTATAAGGGAAAAAAATAATATAACAAAGAATATAAACAAACAAAAAGAATGAAACGCTCTGCAAAAACATGACGACAGCCCCCATTGAGTGTGTGTGTATGAGTGTAGGGGGAGAGGAGGGCGAGGCTCTTAAGGAATAAGGACAAAAAACAGCCGCAACAAAAAATGAATTTAGTATGAACATAGTACATACATATATGTATGTACATATGTATGTACATATATGTACGTGTTACGAGTGACAGCTACTAATAGCACGCACACAGGAGCAACCTACTCGCTGGCCCACTGCAGTGCACTGCCCGGACATGCATTTGCACACAGTTACCGTTACCATTACCGTTACTCTGTTGTCCTTGTTGTTGCTACTGGTGCTGTTGGAGATGTTGCTAATGCCGTTGTTGCGGGTTGCACTGAGAAAAAAAAATACCTTAGAGCTAATTAAAATGTAATATAATGTCTTAAGAGCCTTTGAATTTATTTTATTTACTTGTTTATTTATTTATTTAAATTTGTATTGAATTATATATTTATCTAATTAATTATTTATTTATGCATTATTATTTGGTTATCTTATTCATTTGTTTATTTATTTATTTAATTATTTACAACTATTTTTATATATTTTTTATTATTTAAAGTTTTTATTCATTATTATTTATGTAAGTATTTTATGTATTTTTTTAAATTTATTTATTTACTTGCCTTTCTATTTATTTATGTATTGATTTACTTAACTATTTATTTATTTTTAATTTATTATATATTTATTTATATATTTATTTATTTATTAATGTATTTATTTATTCATTAATGTATTTAATTAATTTTTTATATTTAAAACTTAAATTTCGATTTAAAAACGTATTAATATTTTGTCTCAGTGCCTTTGCTGCCGGGGAATATGAATATTCATGAGCTGGATGCTGCCGGCGGAGGCTTTTGTGCATCTTTTGGAGGCATCCAGCAGCTGCATCACCGGCTGCCCACTTTCGGTGAATTTCAGCTCGCCTAATTATCAAAAAAAACACATATGTATATATCATAATCTTTAGATGCTGCGTGGTTAATGTATGCAGTAATTAGGAAAGCCCAACTTACAGAAAGGAATCCATTCGAAACCCAAAATATCCAATTAAATTCGAGTGTATAAACCTCGAGTCAACTATTTTAATGAATGTCAAAGGACACACGGTCCGCGCCAATTATTGGCATTAGCCTGGAATTTGTTCGAAGGAGTTGAGGTCGCTGATATTCGCATTATTAGCCAAGTTTGATTGATGGCCTTTTGTGTGTGGGATATTTAGGTTTTAATGAACAAAAACAAGAGCCCAAGCCCAAGCCCAAGCCCAAACCCAAACCCAATCCCAATCCAGATCCCCTCATCAGGGCTTCCCTTAGTTAAATGTGACAAGGAAAATGGGTAAATACGAAATAGATTTTCCGTTCGTGTTTGTTCTGGCATTTCCCCCATCACGCGTGTTGTAAACTGATTTCGGCTCAATATAATGTGACGTCCCCTCACTTTTGATAAGGGTTTCACTTCTCTCCTCCGCAGCCAGGAGGCTGTCAAATGATAAGCAGCCGACAAGCCCAGCAAAAGGGATATATGCCTAGGTAGTATAGGTTGAGGAGCTACCAAATTGTTATCATTACAACATTTACCCGGCATCCATTCTATTCCACACGCACGAATGCCTGTCCAATTAAAAATTCAAAAGCCTTTTTTCAGCCACTCACCAAATTGGTGAATTACGTGCCAAATCGAAAGCCAGAAGGTTCCCCAGCTCAAACGGCAAAGTATGATTTATTTATGGATCTATTTATGGGCACATGCCAAAAATAACCAAAGATATATGTGAGAATATATATTGGTAGGGGTTTTAAGGCACTCCTTTACATTTTGTTACATTTTCTACTACAAGTTCTATTATAGTCATAACCTTTTTAATCAACCATTATGGCAGCTTTGTTGCGACTATTTTTTTCCTGAAGCCGTCCTCAATTTGCCCAAGTTCTTGGCCAAATATTTATACTTCATTTAGCAAATTCTCTCGCTCGAAATTACTTATCCGAGGGCCTTGTAACGAGGTGAATGTCCTTGTCTACAATGCCGTTGCCGGCCACGTCTTATTAGATGCAGAGGCTTATTAGTTAGATTGTTTATCGTTCAGGGTAGTCCAGGACTTAACTGGCGCCAGGGGACACGGGAAGCGGGCCACAGATCCTGAATCCAGGTGTTCCTGGTAAGGATACTACTACATCTACATATAGAAATATACATATTTTGGCGTATATCTTTATAATAATTTGTTTGCCGGCAAAACTCTCCCCGGGGCGCATTTAACTAAACGCTGGCAAGGATAAGGCTGGCAGGACGCAGGTCCTCGCAGGACTCGGCCCGTGGCAATTATAAATTGTTGAAAATAATTTCATTAAATATGTAAAAAGGCAAAGTCGAATAGGAAAAGTGTGTTAGGGAGGATCCTTTAGGTGAGTGAGTGCCTCCTTTTGCTACCCAAAAACTGAACTACGTGCCAGCCATTAACATTGACGCCCACTTTGCTGCTCCTATCTATCACTCTCTGACCTTCGGAACTTGGACTTCCTGTTGCCCCCCATTTCAGTGCATATTATAAGGAACCCAAAAGGACACAACCAGCTGAGAGGAGTTGCAAACTAAGTAACTTATTAGCCCAGGGGAAGTCGGCTTTTTGGCACTTTCCATTTGCGATGCAAATTTAATGATTTCGTAAACTGAAATTTCATTTTCACTTTGCAATTGTTCACTTTTAACCCCAGACACACGTTGGTGCAGAGGAGGACTCTGTCGTTTTGTGGAAGGTGTCCAGGAAATTGCATTGCCAACTTTATGTACTTCTGCTTTGGCTTTGGCCAGAAGGCGCTGGTAACCTATTGACCTCTCACTCGAAAAAATACCTAACTCCAAGGGAAAAATATTGATGGGAAAATAAATAATAAATCAAAAATCGGGCTGAAAACTTTGTACTTTGAAATATCATATTTTATAGAATATTTCACAAACGCGAAACTTCAGGATAAATTATGGGTCATTTAAAGGTTTTCCGCTACTTAGCCGGCTCGTCGCATTCGCCTCCATCTCCAGCTTAATCTTCATTTCCGTTTCCACCCCTTCTTTTTACAGCCGTAGCTAGCACACCGATGCTCATTATTTGCGCTGGAAACTCATTACTCATACCACACGTGGGCTGGCAGGAAGCGAGAGCGTGAGTCACAAATTTGATTCATTCCATTGAGACGCAGGCTCCCCGAGGCTCAGGGACACTTGACTCGTTTTTAATGAAATAAAAGTAATGAGTCCTGTAAAAATAAAATTCTCTGTAGATTAACTAAAAACTGTCTTTAAATTAACGTTTACTTTAATGTCTTATAAAATGGAAGAAATATATAAAATAGTTCTAGCTTTATTTTGTTTAGGTTTGTATACCCTTGCAGGTTACAATTTGAAATCTATCTTAGCTAATTTATTTTATAAGGTTAATAAATCTACATATTTCATTTAATATTAATATTTTTTCATCATTTTATAATATATATTTGGGAAAAAGTAAAACTTAAAAGTTTCATAACATAATAAATATAGAAAATATAGTTTTTAGGGAACTTTAAGTTAATATATCTTTCAAATTCAGGTTGTTATCTTAGCTTACCAATTACTCATAACATATATAATATAATATATTTGTGTTTATTGGCAGCATTCAAAGAAATCATCAAAAAATGAAATGCAACCTGATGAGTTTTCCCTCATTACACCTTATCTCTTGAATAACAAGTAAATGAAGTTATTAGCTGAAAAATGTTCGCTAATGTTATTTAAATCGGGTTTTAATTGCCGGCAGACTGCGTGGGATGTGATCCCTATTCCGCTTCCTGATCAAAAATCATCAACAACGCTTCAGTTGGCAAGTGGAGAGTTGGAATGCCACATTTTTGGATCTTGAAAAGAAAGATCGTAAAAGATACAGTTGAAGAAAAAAGTACTACAAGTAAAAGTAAAATTACAAATTAAATTCAAAATACAAAAAATGTATATATTTAATACTGGTGAAATATTTAATTTGTTTTTTATTTTTAATGAAATTAAAATAATAAAAACATTGATATAAAATTTTTATAACAGAAATTTCAAGAAAACTTACATCTTACATAAAAACTTTAATTTTTTTTGTGAGGTTGTACATATTTTAAGATGAATTTTTAAATTTTTTGGAAGCTATGAGTTTTCTTTAGTTTTTATTTATTTTTCTAAAATCATAATACATAAAATTAATATATAAATATGTCATTCAAATGAAAATTATGTACTTTAATATGGATATTATTTGAATATTTATTATATTTCAATGCCTTTGTCTTCACTACTTTAAAATACATTATTTTAACATTTATTATTATTATATTAAGTAAATAAAATTGTTTTTTTTGGTCAGTGTTCATTTA